CTCAACTTCAAACCCTCCTACAACAATAGCATAACCTTGCAACAAATCTTCACTACCAGTGAAGCGGAATCGGGATAGCAACACATAACACACATCAACTGTAACGAATAACTTTCATCAAACACCGAAGCATAATTTTTTCAGAAGAAACACAACATATCAAAAGAAGTATTCCAACCATACCTCAAAAAATTTCAGCGAAACCTCCCCACCATAGGTAATTCGATTCACTCTCTCTTCAACATTTTTTGCCATTCAGATTTGTATTGTTGTGCGTTGTTGTTTGTTGATCGAATTATGAGGTTTCATTTTCTGCCTTTTTCAAACTTGGTTTTTGAGTGTTCGATTGAGAGGAAGTAATAGAGCGATTTTTGTGTTGTTGCTCCGAACTGAGAAATCGTGAAATAGAGTAGACGAACCGAGAGCGAGAGCTGAATCGAGAGAGAAATATGAAGCCATGAACGAGAGAGATGAAAATTTCGTTTTTTCTTAGAACAGAGAAACAAGGGTGTGGTTTGTGATTGAAAAGAGGCGCTGCCTCTGTTTTCAATTTAGGGTTTGAAAACCCTCATTTTCCCTCTAGGCAAAAATCGGGTTTGGGCTCAATAACAACCAACCCGACCCATTTTCTTTTTTTATTTATTTGTTTGTTTTTAAATTTGATATAATATTCGGTTTGGGCTTAACTCACTAAACCCAATCCGCCCAGTTTCCCCTTCTAATTTTCGGTCCATTCAAAATTTCACTTACTTACCCCCTATTTGTTGTCTTCACCTTTTTGTTCTAGTTTTAATATTTTTCGTAATTCTAATTAACTTAGTCTTTTTTTAATTCAATTAACAATAACATAGTTTTTCTTAACTAAATTTTCTTTTTTTAATTAGTTTAGTTTAAATATGGTTTCTCACCTTTTTTTTAGATTTCATTTTCAAATTTTTGTTTATTCTTAATTATTTTGACTTGATTTTATTTCTTTACAAGAAAATATAAAACACAAAAATGATTTTAAAATTTATATTATAATTTCCTTTTGCTCTTTAATATTTTCTTAACATTTAAAAAAAAAAACAAAATACGTGGTTTTATTATTCTTTATATAAAAAATCAATATATATATATATATATATATATATATATATATATATATATATATATATATATATATATATATATATATATATATATATATATATATATATATATATATATATATATATATATATATATATATATATATATATATATATATATATATATATATATATATATATATATATATATATATATATATATATATATATATATATATATATATATATATATATATATATATATATATATATATATATATATATATATATATATATATATATATATATATATATATATATATATATATATATATATATATATATATATATATATATATATTAGAACTTAGTTTTATTTTTCCTTTAAATTTTATTTAAATTGATAAAATACCAAAAGTATTATTTAGAATTTTTGAATTTCCGTTCATAGCTTTTAATTGATTTAATTTTCTTATTTGATAAAATCACAAAATAATTTTCCTTTTCTTTTTTCCGTGTAATTTACTATTTGTGCATTTTCGATTATTGTAACTGTTTACGGTTTATAATAGTTTAATTAGGCCTTTACTTCATCCCCATTCATAAATTTGTACCCTCACTCCCGAAGTATTGTAATAGCATAAAACTTTATTTTTCGCACTTTACCACATTTCCTTACATTGTATAGTAATTAGGCGTGTATGACAAAATTTAAAATCGATCGCTAGATAACCCTAATCAAGACAAACTAAACTTGAATAAAACACTTTTCACACGCGCACCTCTAGGATAACCTCGCTTGTTGCCTCGGAAAAACAGTCATGTTCCTCGAATATGGGACGCTTTGGCAAAGACCCTCGATAAAAAAGATCGTAGTCCCTCAATGACCTTTCGATGTTGCCTTCGGTAAAACGATCTGAATCCCTTACAAAAATTGCTAAAGCGTCTCACAAGTTGTATTCTATGATTGTACGACGACCCACACCTGTCCCTCACATCTAATGATATGACTCCCTACCAACCAATGGTAAAGTAGCACTATCTAAAGGAGGAGGAAAATAACAAAGACTTTTTGAGTTGGTAAATTGCTCGTAATTGCTTGCTCACAAACCAAAATAATCCTTACACCTCACAATTTCAAAACATCTTTCAAACACTTTTCAAACAACAAATATTTTCAAAACCAACACTTTGTATACATTCTCAACGATACGAGAATCATTACAAAGTTTGCCACACGAAGGCGTTTTCAAAATATTTTTAAAACTTACACAAAACACAAAGCATTTCAAAGTGAGCTAGTAATTAAGAGTTCGTAGATAACTACAGATGAAAAAGGTGCTAACACATTCTTTTTTCACAACATATCCCCGAATTCAAGAAAAATTCTCAAAAAGTTTTTACTGTTTTTTCCATTCTTTCTTTTACTGGATAAAAGAAAAAGTCGGTGACGATTCTTACTATCTGCAGCAATTACGATAAAACGCAAAACACCAAATCAATTCTCCCACCATATCACAGCTGACAATCCTCTTCCATAAAAACTAATAATTTTTTTTTCTCATTTGAACGGATCAAAAGCACGTTCTGCAGATTTCTTGGAAACAGTGCAAAGTACAAATAGACAACACGTCAATCAACCTTTCATGTTTGTCAAACACTTGGTTCCAACTTACTATTATTATTAAATATTTAATCTGAACAAATTATTTAAACATTTATCTCACTTTTTTTTCATTTTAAAACAGAAATGTCAATGCACCAACTTTTGCCATGGAGCGACGCTGCACTTTCATAAGAATACATTTTAAAACCAGCTTTACTGCAACATCCATGAAAACAATATAACTCTTCAATCTCCATTGCTTTTCTATTACTCTACATTTATATTGTCTTCAATATGCTTACCTCATGCCTCTGCATTTGAAGTTAATGCATGGTGTTGTCCCAAGTTTACCATTCCTTTATTCTGTATTAAGATGTAGTATTGTATTTCTTGTATTCTCTAGGTGTTCAATGTTGGTTTCTACAATGGCTTCTAAATGTGATTTTCAAACCTTAGAACTGTTTATATATATGGTAAACATTTTAGTTTAACCTTTGGCTCGCGTGCAAATTGACGAAGTAAATTATCTTTGCTAAATGTCAATCCTAACAGTAACAATATATATTTCTACAACCACTTGACATTTTCACTAACTAGATACCAACACAAATAACCTTTTTGTTTAAGAATAAACATTACATTTGAGTGGTTGTGTAGAAATAATTGTGACATCATATTTTAGTATCATGATTTTATGGTTGAATTTCATATATGTTTAACTCATTATTCTTCTCATTCGAACGGATTATAAATGGGTGCATTTTTTTTTAGTTTGAACTTAATACATACACTATTTTGGTCCATTGAAATTTCAGGTAAGCACAATGTATCAGTATCATTTAAATCAAACTATATCCATTTAAGTTTCAACCATTTTGAATGAGTGCCTATTCAACTACATTTCACTTAGTGTATTATATTTCTATTTTGAATATCTACTTGTATCAATCATTTTTAATGGGAGTCTATTCAACTATATTTCACTTAGATTTACGGTGCATTGTATTTCTATTTTGAATGAGTTTCTATTCAACTTGAGTTTCTATACACTACACTATATTTCATATGCATTTATATTTTAAATTAGTTATTTTGAATGAGTTTTCATTCAACTTCAATTACACTTACATTACATTATATTTCATATGCAACCACCATATCAAGATGCAGGGTTGTCTTTTGCCTATATGAATTTCATTATGACTTTTTGATATGTCATGCTTTAACTTATTGTTTAAGAGAAACAATATTTTTTTCTTTCTTGAGAGATTGTTCTTTGGAGATAAATGAAAGGGGTCCAACTGAAAATGAAAAATACAAAACTTATTAATGATATCATTTCAAACTGGAGAAAAATCACTTATTTTTGAATTTGTAAATATTTAATTAGTAGCATATTTGAAAATTATTTGTAGTTATTAGTTATATTCGAATTTTCATGTCGGTGATATGCTACATATTTTAAAATATTAGTGATTTTATAATAATTATTATACATTAACAACAATCAAACGTTATCAAATTATCTAAGATAGGAATGAAGCGCTACAAATTGAGACTCTACTTTTTCCACGAAGACGAGATCACTGATATTATACTATTTTAGTTATTAAATTTATTATTTTAACATATTTCATATATTTTTTAAGTCACAATAATTTATTGAACTCATATTTTTTAACATTATCAATTTATTATTGGATTCTAAGGAAACAATGAGAGTGATATTTATAATTTTTACTAACTCCGGTAAATTTTTTTACTTAACTCATTATTTTTATAGATCATTATCACCACAATATATATTTTATTTTAATCAACAAATTGTTGTAAATATTTAATTATTAGACATATTAGATTTATCATGTCGATGATTTACTACATATTTATTTTTAAATATTTTCAGTTATTAGTGATTTTATAAAAATAATTATATATCATAACAACCCAACCTTATTAAATGATCTAAAAATATTAATAAACTTACTCGTGAAGACACATCGGTCTTCTATTAGTTATTTTTATGAATAATTAAAATAAAAATTAAATTTATGTAAAACATCGTTCTTCTATTAGTTATTTTTATGAATAATTAAAATAAAAATTAAATTTTATGTAACGGCGACAATTAAATGGAAATAAAATTACTTTACACCTTAATGCAATACCAATTAAATTCTTAAATGAATTATTTGCTTTACCAAATCAACAAAATTGTTTTTTATTTCTTCAAGAAAATAGACGATAAACGAATCCCCAATAGAAAACCCCCTATTAAATGAATATTATATTTCGAATTAATTTTCATAGTTTCATGTATTTTGATGGCTATGTCCAACGTTTCTTCCCTGAACTTCCAAATCCCTCATCCTTTTCTCCCCTCTCCTCAATTTTCCCTCAAATTTTCGCGCGCTTTTCCACCGGTGACTCAAAAACGTTTCCGACCAATAACCGCCTTCAAAGAATGGCGCGAATACGAAGAGGCGGTGAAGCGGAAGGACCTCGCCGGAGCTCTCACTTTCCTCAAGTCCCTTGAAACCGAGCAACGCCTAACTGCTGAGCCTTTCGGGGAAGAAGCTTCTCCGGTGGCCGAGTTGACTCGGTCTCGTTTCCGTGAATTGGAAGTGTTTGGGCCGCAGAGGGATTGGGAAATTCTGGATACTTGCATGAATGCTGATAATATGAAACTCGTTGGGAATGCTTACAAGTTTCTTAAGGATAGGGGTTTCTTGCCCAGTTTTGGTAAATGCAGAAATATTGGTGAGTTTTTAACTTTCCTTTTTTAGTTCCATAGCAGAAAGTATAATTTGTTGATTTTTTTAATCATTTCATTGCGCTCATCGCACGGTCATAATATGTGTCGCGGCACTGATTGTGGTCATCGCAGTTTGAATTAATCATAATTTCTTTAATATTAGAACCGTGATAACTGTTGCCATTTTGTTGCCGCCGTTTTTGCGGTCTAGGACCGTTTTTTAAAACCCTCTAGTGTTGTGAACAGCAGAAAATAGTGAGTTGAATTGAATTGCACATAGCAGAACAACAGCAATTTGTTAGAGTTCTGCTACTCTATTCTCTTTTAAGTGTAATAGGCAAAGTAGAAATCTTGGATTGACTGGACCACAATTTTTGTAACTTTGCAAGGGTAGCCTGACTCTTTGAGCACAGTATCAAAATGAGGGATTTTGTGAACGCAAAGATGGTCCGAGAGTTGGTAGAGGTTATTAGGCTCACTATGTTGCAATAGCAGCACTGTTAATAGTGGAATAGCGTAGTGGTGGTAGAGTTTGGCGTGGCGCTATATGTCTGGCTTGCATTTTAGGGGGATCAGTGCTAGGTTAACAACATAGGGCTCACATTGGAAGCCAATCATCCGACCATGCTCTGGTTATGCAAGAAAACAAAATCATTAGTGAAAGACATGACACAATAAAGCAAGAGAGCGAGTCAAGTGACTGATAAAAGAAAAGTAATGGGGCAATCTATAATATTTAGTGACATGACTAAATACGGGGATGATTGGGGAATGGAGAACTGGTAGAGGCCATTAGACTTACAACTGACGCCGTTCATCTGGCTTATACTCTTGCTATGTAGGAAAACAGAATCTTCAGCGCAAAATAAGACATATTCTAGAGAGCAAGTTAATCAATTAATAGAAAGCAAATTAAACGGGAAAGTTGGGACATATAGTATCTGACTCACCAATCATCTGAGTGTGACCTTTCTTTATTCACATCCAGATACAATAAACACTTAACTAGGAAATCCCTTGACATTTATTATAACTTGAATGGTTGCATCCAAATGACTTTTGCATAGGCTGTGCTTGTCTGGTCTGGCCTGGCTTTTTCTTTGGCGTTGGTTATTTTTCATGTGGATTATTCTGGTGTGCTAACTTTAATCAATAATCATTATATTATGGTGTATAAACTCTGACATAGTTTTTTGTTGCAATAACTTGCATTTTTCCACTGTGTATAGTTTTGGAGGGTCCGAGGAATGTAACACCAGATGTCTTGAGCTCGTCAACTGGTTTGGAAGGTGATCACATAAATTTCTGACAGTACTTTCTCCCTAGCTATAAATTGCTAAAAAATCCCAGTTTCAGTCATGTTACATTAGACTTAATAGCATTTTATATAATTCGATACTTCTGAAAACTGGTTTTTCAACTTAACTTTTTCTTTCTTCTTTTGTCCAGTGACTAAACTTGCACCAAAAAAGTGGGGTCTCGCGGATGGTTCAACTGCTGCTTTGGTTGCTTTTTTTGGTGGTGTGTCCTTTCTTATTTCACAAGGAATAGATCTCAGGCCCAACCTTACAGTGGTATTAGGTCTAGCCATTGCAGATTCTATATTCCTAGGAGGTACCTGTTTAGCTCAAATATCAAGTTACTGGCCGCCATATAGGCGCCGAATCCTAATTCATGAAGCAGGACATCTCCTAATAGGTATATTCATTTGTTTCTTAAGAATTTCAGAGGTCATATCATATTTGATTTCCCTTCATTATATGCTGCCATACCTAACACCTTACACGGTTCATCTTAATGGAATTTCAGCTTACTTGATGGGTTGCCCAATTCGGGGGGTGATTTTAGATCCAATAGTTGCAATGCAAATGGGTATCCAAG